AAAAAAAAAAAAAGAAAAGAAAAGAAATCAGAAATGAATGTAGAAGTATGGAAACTTTAGAGTAAATAGTTATTTTTAGAATTTCTAAGTTTTTTCAGGTAAGTAGAGTCAGTAAAATCAAATTAAATATAAAGTAAATGAAATTGCTTTAAAGAATTTTTTTGAGACAGAGCCTCAATGTTGCCCTGGGTAGAGTGCCATGGCATCACACCTCACAGCAACCTCCAGCTCTTGGGCTTAAGCGATTCTCTTTTCTCAGCCTCCCAAGTAGCTGGGACTATAGGCACCCACCACAGTGCCAGGCTATTGTTTTTTTTGGGGGTGGGGTTGTAGTTGTCATTGTTGTTTATCAGGCTGGATTCAAACCCTCCAGCTCTGGTACATGTGGCTAGCACCCTAGCTGCTGAGCTATAGGCGCCAAGCCTTAAAGAATATTTTAAACTATCACTTTTGGCTTACATTTCATATGAATTAAACTCCTATGAGGATTATTTAGGAATGTTTTTTGCCATGTAGAAAAATAATAGTTATTTAAATGTAGAACTGTATATTATAATGCATAAAAATTTTGTTTTAAGACATACCAAATCATGAATAGTTTTATCTTTCACTCACTAGCTCTGCGATGTCTTACGTGGCTCTTATTTATTTCTTAACATTGACTATAACTCATTTTAAATAAATTTTAGTTAAACAAAGGGTAAATAGTCTGAAAGACATAAAAAAAATCTTTGAAAGATGCAGTAAGATGTGGACACATAGGTGAGCACACAGAGACAGAGATTCAGCTACAACTGCATTAACTAATGTCCTGGGGTTGATACCTCAGTCCAGAGTGTTTTCTTAGAGACCTTAAGAGTGATTTGAGATTTTTTTTTTCTTTTTTTTTAAGAGACAGAGTCTCACTTTGTCACCCTCGGTAGAGTGCCATGGCTTCATAGCTCACAGCAACCTCCAGCTCTTGGGGTTAGGTGATTCTCTTGCCTCAGCCTCCTGGCTAGCTGGGACTACAGGCGCCTGCTACAATGCCCAGCTATTTTTGTTGCAGCTGCCACTGCTGTTTGAGCTAGCCGGCCGGGTTTGAACCTGCCACCCTTGGTATATGGGGCCAGCGCCCTACCCACTGAACCACAGGCACTGCCCAAGAGTGATTTGAGATTTTTATGATGAAAGGTTTACATGAGTCTAAAATGATAAATAACAAATCATCTTTCTACCCTCATTGCCAGAGGTTTTCTAAGCTTCCTGGGTTGGTATTAATTTTCTAAGAAAAAAATCACTTGTGAAAGTAATTTTTAAGCCAGGTGTGGTGGTGCCTGTAGTCCTAGCTACTTGGGAGGCTGATGCAGGAAGACAGCTCAAACCAAGGAAGTTGAGGCCGGTGTGGGCAACATAGGAAGATTCTATTTCTTTAAAAAAGAAAGAAAAAGTAATTTTCAGTTGCACAGTTTTCACTTTTTTCTGTTCTATAAAACAAGCAAAGTGGATACATTCACTGTTCTTTAACTATGTTTAAACTCCATGATGATAGCTTTCTCTCTGTAAATTTAACCTCTGTTTTACAATGGTGACACTTAAAAAGCTAAAATTTGAGAAAAATTAAAGTTTATGGAATAAATGATCAATTCTCCTGGTCTGTGTAGCTAGCAAATAGCTGGTCAAACTTTACCACAAAGGACAGATATAAATTATTTCTGAAATGTTTAAATTTCAAAATTTATTTATTTATTTATTTATTTTGAAACAAAGTTTCACTCCATCACCCTGGGTAGAGTGCTGTGGTGTCACAGCTCACAGCAACTCAAACTTGTGGGCTCAAATCATCTTCATGCCTCAGCCTCCCAAGTAGCTGGGACTACAGGCGCCTGCCACAATGCCCAGCTATAAATTTCAAATTCTAGATAATTAAAGATAACAAAAGAGGCTTCAAAACAGCTTCATGTTTTTTGTATGCTGCCCTGTTTTTAAATTCTAAGCTTTACAGGCATTTGAATACATCTAATAAATTTGGTTTGTGAGGCTTAGAATAAAACTCTTGATCCTCCTCCTGATTGAAATCTCTGAGGACGTTTCTTGACTCATCCAGCAGCATCAATATTCAGGTAGAAGGGGCTGAAAGGGAATCCAGCTAATTCTGAGGACACAAAGGTTTTCTCTGGGTAAACAGTGAACTTAGGTGAGTTACAAAGTGCTAAGTTTTTCTTGAGGACTGAATGAAGAAAACTACTGGGCATTTTCTAAAGCAGAGTTTCTCCCTTATACAAGTGAATAAAGTCTCCTGGGGTCAAGATTGATTAGTGTTAAGAGCAAAATCTAACTAGCTGGTGATAGAATCAATTGAACAGGGAATGTTTAAAACAAATGTGTTAGCTGGGTGCTATAGCTCAGTAGTTAGAGCACAAACTCTGCAAACCAGGAGTGGTGAGTTGAGCTTTACCTGGTATAGACAGACAAAAATAAAACAAATGTGTTGCTTCATGTGGTCAGTACTTCATCTAATCTTAAATATTTTCCTGCCAGTTCTCTTAAGCAATCACTGAAACTACCCTCAAAAATTTCCTCTCATAGGAAGAACACAAATATTAACATTGATTAAACATTTATCTTAGCCAATTTGGGATAGCTTACCTAGCCTTTTCAAGTCAAGTTTTATTCTTTTTTTTTTTTTTTTTTTGAGAAAGAGCCTCAAGCTGTCGCCTTGGGTAGAGTGCTGTAGCGTCACAGCTTGCAGCAACCTCCAACTCCTGGGCTTAAGCAATTCTCTTGTCTCAACCTCCCAAGTAGCTGGGACTACAGGCGCCCACCACAGTGCCAGCTGTTTTTTGGTTGTAGTTGTCATTGTTGTTTGGCAGTCCCAGGCCGGATTCGAACCCACCAGCTCTGGTATATGTGGCTGGCGCCTTAGGCACTTGAGCTACAGACACCGAGCCTCAAATTTTATTCTTTTTTTTTTTTTTTTTTTTGCAGTTTTTATAGTTTTTGGCCAGGGCTGGGTTTGAACCCACCACCTCTGGCATATGGGGCCAGTGCCCCACCCCTTTGAGCCACAGGCCCCACCCCTCAAATTTTATTCTTATTAAAATATTTCTAAGGCTAAGAGTGGTGGCTCACACCTATAATCAATCCTAGCACTCTGGGAGGCCCAGGTGGGTGGATTGCTTGAGCTCAGAGTTTAAGACCAGCCTGAGAAAGAGAGAAACCTTGTCTCTACAAAAAATAGAAAAACTGAGGCAAAAACATGAGCTCAAGAGCTTGAGGTTGCTATGAGCTATGATGCTACAGCACTCTATACTCAGGGTGCTAGGGAGATTCTGTCTCTCCCCACCACCCAAAAAATAGTTCTAGTGATTTTTCTCTTCTATATTCTTCCCTATTTGCCTGGGCAGTAGTCCTTGACATGGGAAGTCCTGTGTCGGTAAAGGGTAAAATAGAGGCACATATGGGTGGTGGGGGTAAAGCAGCACTTTAGGGCAGAGTCTACACTACAGAAAGGATAAATTTGCTTGCCTAAAGCTGATTGGCCATGATCGAACACTGTTGAAA